CCTTCAGTTTGCCTGTTTCCTTTCTTCCTTTCTTTATTTTATTAGTTTGTTTGTTTATTAGCTGGTTCATTGGTTGGTTTATTCTTGGTTTATTTTTTTGATTCGGTAGTTTGCTAGTTTCCTTTGCTTGTTGTTTTGCCTTTTTTTGATTATTATTTTGTTGTTATCATCTAAGGTTAAGCTGGCCTCTGACTAGGCACTGACTGTTTGAAAGAAATGTTGATCCAGGAACACGGCCTATTTATATAAATCATGTTGGTAATGTATCTGAAACTAGAGTCTCCAAGAATCCTTTACAAGCATCACCTGATTCTTAAGAGTGCTGAAAACGTCCTGCAGGAGGAAGTGGAATCTGCAGCGGTGGCACTGACAGAAGCAGATATTTATTTGGGTGCAGAGAGAATACACATATTTATGAATCCTCACCATCTCAAAATTGCTGTCGTTGATGTATTAGCATGCCCTCACCCTGTCATTGAGGAGTGCACCACAATGATTACTGTCACTCAGAGCCATCTGGGACGGATGTGTGCATGAGCCGTAATTTTGCAGACACCCTATGAATTCCTAACAACTGCCGTAAACTTTCTTTTCCCGTTTGATGCTAATATTTTAGAGATATTGGACAGTTTTATGTATGTAGTCCTGATACACTCAGCAGTTTCCAAGAGCCTGAAAGTGGTACAATTTAGGAATTGTCACACTCAGAATTAAAATATACTGTGTTGGCTTTCTGTGTGAGTCTGAAGCACTGAGAGTACATACAGCAAAATCCTAAACACTGTTCACTCATTTTGAAACTTACTCTGCCATTCAAAAGTTTAGTAAGATTCTGTAAGATTTTTAAATGGTTTTGTGCGTGTGTCTCTTATGAGTCTCTTATGCTCACCAAGGCTGTATTATTTAATCAGTAATACAATAAAAACAGACATATTGTTACAATTTAAAATAACTTTTTTTAATTGTGTGTGTGCGTGTCCATCTTCAAGAAATGACTAAAAACACATCTGTTCCACCTTTATTTGACCCTCTAACTCTAGCACTTTCTATTCTATTGTGTGTGTGTGTGTATAAAGGTAAAACTTTAATTAATACACATTTAATATTAAATATTTATTTTAAAAAGTGGTTATTTTATTTATTTATTTAATGTAATTTACTTCAGTCGTCAGTGTCATGATCCTTTAGAAATCATTTTAATATGATGATTTGCTGCTCAAGAAACATTTATTATTATTATCAATGCTGAAAACAGTTGTGCTGCTGCCTAATCTTTTTTGTGTAAACATTTTTTCAGGATTCTCTGATGAATAGAAAGAAGAACATTGTTTATTTGAAATAGAAATCTTCTGTAACACTATAAATGTCTTTCTTGTCACTTTAGATAAATTAAACGCATCTTCACTAAATAAAATTATTATTTTCTATTAGAAAAATTTTTCCTGACTCCAAACTTTTGAGAGGTGGTATGTATGCTGTCTAAATGTGAGAGCAAAAAAGAGCTGTTTAACAGATGACCTCAAACACAACGAATGAAAGAAAGATATATAGAGAGAGTAAAAGCTTTGTTGATGAAAACAATCATGGAAGAGAGTAAGATAACTATGATGGCAAAGCTAAAAGTTCAACCTTAAGCACAAATACAACATGACCATGAAAGTTGGCTCTTTAGTGTAAATCCTGCAAACAAGGACAGGTTAAATACATCAAAAGAGCAAAAATCTTAAAGCACTGCTTCCTCCAAAAGCACAGTACAAATTTGTACTTCATTTACTGTAGCAACTGAAAAAAGAAAGCTGGCACTTTCCCAGACACTCCTATCAAGCATCAGTATGCGGCGTGTGTTCACTCACAGTGGACTGGGGTCTGCTCATGTCCTCAGGGTCCAATGAAATGACATCCAGGGGTGGGGCGAGGGCGGGGTCACTGCTGCTTCGCACCGATAGAGGAGTGGCTGATGGGGGAAGTGTCAAAGGATACAGTTATACATCTAAAACACAATCATTCTGCATTTTAAAACCTATGTAAAACATAATGATTTAGACATTGAAAAGTCACTGTAGCAATACCATCATACATGACATTATCATATAGCACTAAAAATTATTTTAGCACCATTGAGATACTATCATAGGTTTCGTTAATATTTTGAATTAGATTGTATTAATATTTTCCATTTTAAAATTGTGTTTTCATCATTTTATTAGCCTTTTTAAATGTCTTTTTTAAAATTAAGTTTTAGTTTGTTATTTTAGTACTTCAAATTGAAGTAAACGAAAACGAGAAATGTTATCTTTATGCATTGGCATAAATAATATTTTTTTTATATAATTTTTTATATAATAACATATACACACACACACACACATACATATATATATATACATATATATATACATATATATATATATACACACACACACACACATTTGAATTAGATTGTATTAATATTTTCCATTTTAAAATTGTGTTTTCATCATTTTATTAGCCTTTTTAAATGTCTTTTTTTAAATTAAGTTTTAGTTTGTTATTTTAGTACTTCAAATTGAAGTAAACGAAAACGAGAAATGTTATCTTTATGCATTGGCATAAATAATATTTTTTTAATATAATTTTTTATATAATAACATATACACACACACACACACACACACACACACATACATATATATATATACATATATATATACATATATATATATATACACACACACACACACATATATATATACATATATATATATACTGTATATATACATATATATATATATACTGTATATATACATACAGTGGGTTGCGAATGTACCCCTTCATTTTTTTCACATTTTGTTTTGTTGCTGCCTTATGTAAAACTGCTTTAAATTAGTTTTTTTTTTCACAACAATCTACACTCCATACACCATAATTGTAAAGTTCAAATTCACTTTTGTTGTTGTTTGAACATAAATGTGTGTTGGAAGTGTGTGTACACATCCTCCCTATAATGATAAAAATCCACCCAGTGTTTTTTTTTTTTAAATCGCTATTTTAAAATCCCCTCTCAGGCTGTTCTGAGATTCCTGTCAGAATGACGTAGTTCTGCGCAGGCCCCTCCCACGATAGTTGATTGACAAGGCCGTCTTAACTTAGACCCGCCCTGAGTGAGCTG